CTTCCGCCTCAGCCTTCCGAGTAGCCGGAATTACAGGCATGCGCTACCACGCCCGGCTGATTTTTTGATTTATTGTAGAGATGAAGTCTCGCTGCCCAGGTGGGTCTCGAACCCGCGGGCTCAGACAATCCACTCACCTCAGCCTCCCAAAGGCGCGGGATTACAGGCTGAGCCACCGAGCCCGGCTAAATCTTAAAATTTTAAAGCTACAAGTTCTGTATCAATGTGGCTCAGGGTCTGTTTCTAGCAATTAACAAAGTAAATTTAAGCAGTATATAGAAAATCCTAGAGGTATTGTGTTGTAAAATCAGATAATTGACAATGTGACAATAACATGGTTAGTTTTAATAACTATATCAAGACAAGTATTTATCAACAATTATTTTATTCTCTTTTGTAAATACAGCACTAATCTTTAACAGCTTTATTTATTTGCAATCTTCACATTATCATCTTCATCATCACTTTGACACTACATCATCAATCATTTAAAAGACAAAAATAATATTTCCAAATTTTTTCATTTATTGTACTATATTTGAAAATCCTAGTGATCTTTAAATTTTATAAATTAAAGAAAAATAAAAAATACTTTTGGTGTATTACATTGCATAAAGCATTTAAAAGTAAGTCAATGAAATTGTATGTTACATTTATCAAATTTTAAAATACACTTAAAAATATTGTTATCAAAATCTGTGCCTATATGGGTGATGGTTAAAAAAAAGTGTGTTAATTACCTAAAGATGTCGATTTTCAGCATATTTTAGAACTAGATAACATTGAACACATTCACATACACAAATATATACTAAAAAAAGATTAATCATATACTCACACAACTCCAACTGCCATATTTTTAAAAACTTACATCTTTATTTTTTAAAAACAATTTAATTTCATATGACATTTCTGACCCTGAGGTATGGTATTTTCAGATCTGAGGTATAATACAAATTTAATCTCAAAAAGAAAAAAAAAAAAAAGTTTTAGAAGACTGTTTCCTGAAAGCATTCTCCTTACATTTTTTTTTTTTTTTAAATCTCAATCCTTTGTTCTCTGGGGTGTTCTGACTTATCTTGATATTAATCTTCTTATAGGTTCATTTAAAAAAATATATCTGCTTTGTTATAAGAGTCACCTGTTAGGTTGCCCTAGTGGCACTCACATCAATAAGACTGGTGAAAAAAACAGAAAAGAAATCAAGCAAACAAACAAATAAACAAACAAAAACACATTCAGTGTGTTGGCTGCTCAGACAAGAAGCAGAGAACAATAATTTTCATAAAAAAATAGAAAACTATAAAACTATGAACTATATGTAATTCATATAATTTCAAACATATAATTGCACCTATTTCTCATGCTCTCCTCCTTTAATGCATCAAAATCCATGGAATGACCTTAGCTGCAAATCCTCCATTGGTGTTTCTTTTACTTCAGTTAAGGTATTATTTAACACTTGTAATTCTTGTTCTTGTTTGCATCTTCAAGTGTCTTTTGGAAAGCTTCAGATATCTTCATACTCACACTTTTATATTATATGCTACTAATTCTCCTCTTCTCACAGTGGTTTCATAGAGGAATTAAGCATTGTTGTCAGTAGTTAGCTGAAAAATACAGAGTTATATTAGTCCAGGTGACACACAGATCAAAATTACACGATTTTTTTTTCAAAACTTCAAGAGATTTTTAAAAACTCCATGTATGTATTTATTTCTTAATCTAGTTAAATCACATTACCCTACTTCGTTACCCCATTCAGCAACTATCCCATTTATTTATGTATTTATTTTAATTGCAAGTTAATTTTCTTCCGTGGCCAATGACTTTATTAGAACATGCTAAAAATTTTCAACAAATTACTTTAAGACATACTGGCTTTTAATAGTTATTCATTAATTAGGTAGAATCTCATCTAAAGAATAGATAAGAGCTCCATAAACATGGCAGAACAATTAGTGTTATAAAGTGACTGGCTAACGTGGGAACAAGAAAAATGCTTTGACCTAAAAAGGAGAGTAGAAAATTCCTATAAGGTAAGCTACCAGAAGAGGAGATGAATGTGATATTTTGCAATGATAAAATAAAAGATATATTAATCTAAATCATTTGAAGAATTGATAAAGCAAAGGTTTAGTTAATATGTTATTTAGAAAGTAGAGCACCATTTATTATAAACCAGATAATCATTAATAGATATTATAAAATACCTTTATTGAACAGTTGCTTAGAGGTCATGCTTTGTATAAATAGAGTTTTTTGTTTGTTTGTTTGTTTGTTTGAGTTGAAGACTCACTCTGCCACCCAGACTGGAGTGCAGTGGCCGCTCCCGGCCACCGCAGCCTCGACCTGCTGGACTCCGGTGATCCTTTCATCTCAGCCTTCCACGTAGCTGAAGCTACAGGCGCGCACTACCACGCCCTGTTGATTTTTTGATTTATTGTAGAGATGAGGTCTCGCTGCCCAGGCGGGTCTCGAGCCCGTGGCTCAGGCAATCCACTCACCTCAGCCTCCCAAAGTCGTGGGATTACAGGCTGAACCACTGAACCCGGCTATAGAGTTTTAAAAATTGTTTCTAATTATCTATTATTTTCTTAAATAATTGTTTTTCACTGTAATTATTTGTTTTTGATCAAATTAATTGTAATTGTACAGATGTTTTAGATTTAACAGTATTTAAAATTTAATTTTATAAAATACAATTCTAAGCGCATTTTCTGTTTTTGTTTTTTTAACTATGGTGTCTTTCTGTCATCAAGACTGGAGTGCAGTGGCATGATCAATCACCGTTTACCACAACCTCGACCTCCTAGGCTCAAACCATACATCTGCCCCAGCCTCCCAAGTGGATGGAACTACAGTCATGTGCCACCATGCCCAGGCAACTTTTGATTTTGGGTAAAGATGAGGTTTT